CATCTGAGGGGGGCCAGATCATGGATGGCCAGGGGCCGCCCCGGGGGCACAGCGCGGGTGGCCAGGGGCCGCCCCAGGGGCACAGCGCGGGTGGCCAGGGGCCTCCTGAGGGCTGGAGGAGATCCCCAACCCTTCTCTGGTGAAGACGGCCTAAGGTCCCTGCTTGGGCTGAGGAGACCCCCGGCTGAGGCTCTGACCTGGCACCAGTTCCTGGCTTGGCCCCAGCCGGGCTGGGTAATTCAGAGCTGGCTCCCTCCACATCCTGCTGGGGAGGAGTTTGGGCTTGTGCCCCCACCTGGCCTGCTCCTCTCCCAGCACTGGGCCAGCTGGGGAGTCCTGGCAGAGCAGGGAGCTGCAGCTCTGTGTGTCCAGGCCCCTATGTCTGGCTGCCACAGCAAGGAGAGGTGCTATGAGCCAGTGGGCCCCTCTGCTCCCTGCCTGTCTCCATCTCCCCCAGTCAGAGAGCAGCCACAGAGCTGGGGAGCCACCTCCCCACAGCTTGATGGCAAGGTGAGCTCAGCCCCCTCTGGAAATGGGCCCCAGGCGCTCAAGCTGCCAGTCACCCAGGTGCTGCGGCCCTGGGATCGGGGCGTTTTACATCGATCGCCTGCCTCCCATGTGTTCTAGCACTGCCCACCCCGCGGCCTGTGCAAGCCCCGCCTCCCTCCCTCCTGCCAGCAGGAAAATGCAGCCACTCCTGGGGTGGCACGTGACTGACGGCGCCGCCAACGCTGTAATGCAGCAGCTGGGACGCGCCCGGGATGGAGGATGGGCAGGTGGACCCAGGAGTCCTGCCCCAGGCCCGTGCTTCAGTCTCTAGAGCCAGCGCAGCACCCAGACAGGGCCTGCTGCTGTGTACCCCAGGCCTGGCCCTGCAATGAAGGCGCAGGGGGAGGTGAGCCCAAGAATGACAAGTGGCCAGTCAGCACCATCTCCGCCGAGATCCCTGTGGCCACTATTGACCCTCAGGCTCACAACCGGCCGCTCACCTCCGGGAGCCAGCTGCAGGACCGGGGCCTGGCTTGGCACGTCCAGCCCCAGCCGGCTTCCCGTTCCGCCAGCCCCAGCCACAGGCTTTCCCCAGCCTCATCCTGCCTCCACCCGCCTTCAGCACGGGGTGGGGGAGCCTCCCTGTGGTCGCCCCTTTGCCTTGTGGAGCAGCAGTTGGCACAGGGCCGGGGATAGTCCGGAGAGCCACCGTTGCACACTCGTGTGCCCCGCACTACTGGCGCCTGCCAGGCCAGGTGAGCTGGACACTTGCTGAGCCCAGCCTAGCAGGGGGAGCCCTACTGAGGTCCCTGCCGTGCCCCACCCCAGCATGGGGGGAATCAGAATGGGGTTTGTGGGGCAAGGGGTCACCGAGGTGCGATGGAGCCCCTGGGGCAAGGGGGCGGCCGGCTCGAGGAGTGTCTGTGGACAGAAGCGCCGGTGCCGGGGAGGAGGCTTGTGACAGAGGGCTCAGCATCCTGCTAGCTGCAGCCTCAGCATGAGTTGCTCTTTAACCAGCCCCCTGTTAATGATAAACGCTGAGCAGAGCGGAGAGGCTGAGGGAGAAGGGAGCTTCCCTGAATTCAGCTCCCGGAGGGAGCCAGGCAGCCATGCCCAGAAGCCCTTTGCCACCCAGCCAGAGAGCCAAGAGTGGCACTGTGCGCCCACCACCCCCGCTGACCCCAGGCCGAGTGCCGGATAATGGGCTATTGTGTGAGTATTTCCTCCCTGGAGCAGGGGCCCACCCAGATAAGACGCCAATCACGCCCACACTCCCTGGCGTGCCACGTGGGCAGAGCTGCGAATCGGGCAGGTAGGCTGCACCCAGGCTGGCACAACGCACTTTGTTCTAACCCCAGGGCCTTCCAGCCCTCCCCACGCAGCGCGGGCCAGGCGTTCTGGGCGAGGCTGCCTGCCTCCTTCGCTGTCCCACCCGGCTCCGGGCTTGGAGAAGCAGAGGCCACCGCGGTCGGTACCAGCTCCCGGGGCTCTCCCGTGCCACGGGCACCATGCCAGTCATCCAGCTGAACACCCGCTCCTTGATCGCCCCCGTGGGGATCGTCCGGTTCTTTGAGATCTTCCTGTCCTGCACGGCCTTCAGTCTGGTGGCTGCCAGCTCGGTCCCCCGCGACAGCTATGGGGCCTGGTGCATGTTCACCTGGTGCTTCTGCTTCGCGGTGTCCGTTCTGATCGTGGTGCTGGAGCTGGTTGGCCTGTGCGAGAAGCTGCCGCTATCCTGGGATGACTTCACCAGCGCCTTCTCCATGCTGGCGGCCCTCATGATCTTCACCTCCTCCATCATGTACCCTTCCACCACCTTCGAGAACCCTTGCAGTGGCAGCGGTTCAGCCATGTCCTGCCTCTGCTTCATTGCCTATGCCGTGGAGGTGGGACTGACCCGAGCCAGGCCGGGAGACGTCAGCAGCTTCCTGGCCACAATCCCGGGCCTGCTGAAGGTGTTTGAAGCCTACGTGGCTTGTCTTATCTTCTCCTTGGTGAGCTACCCCGGGACGTACAGCGGCAAACCCGGCCTGCAGTGGTGCCTCGCCGTCTACAGCATCTGCTTCATTGTCACCCTGCTCATCATCATCCTGACCGTCGGCCGGTGTCTCACCTACATCCCCTTCCCTCTGGAGAAAGCCCTGGTGGGTTACAACGCCGTGGCGGTGCTCATGTACCTGACGGCTGCCGTCGTCTGGCCCATCTACAGCTTCCGAAACAACCCCAGGCCCGATTCCTGTGGCAGCAATTGCCCATGGAACAGACAGCTGGGGGTGACCTTCCTCACCTTCTTCAACCTCATCGCCTACGTTGTGGACCTGGTGTACTCCTCCAGGATGGTCTTTGTGACCGTGCCGGCCTGAGCGCGTGCGACCGGCCGCACCCGCTTGCAGCAGGAGACCCTGGCGTGGTAGGAAGGCACAAGGGCCGTCCAGTGCACTGGGGAGTTTCTCCCCCCACGGCCTGGCCTTCTTGTCCAGCCCCAGAGGGTTGTGCTGGGATTGGATTTGGCGGCCGCTGCAGGTGGCTGGCTACAGCTGGGGCCTCTGTGCTGCTGCAGGGAATGGGGGCGTTCCTTGCAGGCCATGTTTGCTGGGGACGGGGCAAGATGGACACCGTCGGGCCATGCTTCTGGCAGCCTGTGAGGGAGTGTGGAAAGGAGGGGGCTCGCAACCCAAAGCCCTCTGACGCCAAAAGGAGGCTTGGCATGGCTTTCCACAGGTGCTGCATTGGACCCTGGAAGCCCAAATAGCCCCCGGGGGCTCGGGGAGGGTTACGAGTCCCGGCTAGCTCTCATCTGAGCGAAGGCAGGTCCACGGCGCCCAGGCCTCCCTCCCGGAAACGAAAGTTCAAGGGCTGTGGCTAAACAAACAAATGTGTGTGTGCTGAGAGGGCTGGGTGCCCGCTGGGGGAGGGGAGCAAGTTCAGGGGCTGTGGCTCCGCAAACAACTGTGTGTGTGCTGAGAGGGCTGGGTGCCCGCTGGGGGAGGGGAGCATGCCAGGGGGCTGCGGCGGGCAGGGTGTGGCAGGTAGGAACGGCTGGCTAAACACAGCCTGGCCAGCCCTGAGGGGGGCGGCTATTTACCTACTGCCCGAGGGTCTCAGCGTTCTGGGGAAACTCCCCTCCCACAACCCCTTAAGGCCAAAACCCAGCCTGCAACGGCTGCCCCAGAAAGCCACCCTCACTGCTCGGCTCATCTTCGCGTCCCCTGCCACTCCCAGGGGGCCGGGAGCTGCCGCTCTGTCCCCCTCCTACCTACACTGAATAGGTAGCTGCCCAGTCGTGCTCAGCCTGCACCCCTCTCAGCCTGCCCTCCCCAGCTCGCTGGCCCCTCACCGTGCTCTCCCTGCCCCCTTTGTCGCCCCCACAGACCCATTCCAAAGTCTCCACATTTTCCAGCCTCACCCTCACCTCCCCTCTGCCCCCAAGGGCAGTTTGGCGTCCACCCCCCCTGGGAGCGATGGGATGGGGAGGCCGTTTCTGCTGGGAGCAGGCGCGTGTTCCCCTGCAGTGTTAAAGGGACACGGCAGCCATCTTACTGCAGGCAGCCTGTGGCTTTGGTCCTGCTGACAGTGGTGGGAGGCGCCGGCCATCTAGCATAAGGGCAAAACGTGGCTAGGCGGAAGGCCACGATGAAACCCTTACATGCGTATGCATCACATTGCAAAGCGTGCTGTAATACCAGGGACCGGGCCTGGCTTTCAGCTATATGCATGTGCACACGCCTGTGTCTGTGCACAGCCATGTGTGCATGCACACGCGTGTTTCTTCCCATTTCTCATCCGGACTCGTAACTGGCTCGGCAGGCAGTGTGAGCACCACCTGCTGAAGCAGTTCATGGTCTCCACTGGGAGCGTCATGTGCCAGTTTTATAGTTTTCCTCCAGTTTTATAGTTTTCCTGAAATCTGAGCCATCTGCCCACATTTCCCAGGGCAGACGCTTAAAGGTGACACGCAAAGAATTGTTAAAAATGGAGCGTTTGCTCTCCCACCCCCACCTTTTTCGGCTTTTTTATGATTACAAAAAGGGTGAGTAGGGGAGAGCGTTTTCCAGCTTGTTTGTACTTTAGAAATCACAGGACAGTGAAGTCTGGTCTCCCTGAGGGGAGGTGTCTCAGGGAGGTACATTGCAAGATTTCACAGCAGACATGAAAGGGTGGGTGTGTTGATCTTTAGCAAAGGCAGTCTTTCTCCAGAATGTTAATTTGTCATTGAAGTTAAATATGCCCTTCTCAAAACAAACAAAAACCCCAGATCAGTCTGATTAGAAATCTCTTTGTTTCACCCTCTCAGGTACTCTGCTTTCATGCTCTTGGTTTTTGTGCTCTCATCATGTTGCAAGTTCTGTCACGGTCCAGTTGTTCCTGGTTAGATAGGACTAGAACTGAATTGTGAAAAACAAGCAGCATTTTTTTTAATGGCAAAACCTTGCCAACCTCCATTATAAAGAAGCAGTAAAAGGACACATGGCCAGTGCGGTGTGCCCTTTGCAGGTTGCCTTTGGGTTGTGACTGGGAGGAATGCTTGGTTTGTCCTTTGGCTGGTATCAGCCCTTCTAAAGCCACACACACATAGCTGGGGGGTTTCTGAATGAACACGATGGGGAAAGGGTTACAGAAGCTTCCCCAGGGAAGAGTCTCTTGATAAACTGATTCTGAACCTCTTTTGATTAAACTGATTCTGGCCCATCTGCTTTGGGGGCTGGGAACATGGTACTGAACCTGGACTCTGGAGTGTTGCAGAGCAAGTCTCTGGCTCTTAAGGCAAAAGTAAGTCCAGTGCATTTGATTTTGTACCTGGCCATGCCAAATGGAGCGGGATCATGAACACCGTGAACACGTGGGTGGAAATGTCTTCCCTGGCTACAGCGTTCTCAAGGTGCCACCATGATCCTGAGCCTTGGATGCCAGCGAGCCCAGGCAGCACGCAACAGGGACTGAGTTTTAGTTGGACATTTACCTTGTACCGAGCTGTAACCAGGCATTTTAGTGCCTGGGATGCACAAACCTACTTATGCCTCGTACTGTTTTATTTCATCATTTTTCTGCCCCTGTGGCTTTGTGCCCTGGGTGGCTGCCCCCGATTACTGTCCGGCCTGTGCACATCACACGTGTGTTGATTGTTTCAGGGCCAGGTGCACACTGTAAATAAAGTTTACTAGAACAGTCTGACTATTCTAATGTCTTGCTTTGCTTGTTGGCTGAGCAAGTCTTTCAGCAGTTCCAGAGGCCCTGTATGCCCACAGTGCTTTAAGGAGGAAGGATGGTGTTGTGCTCATGGCACTCAAAAGAGGGAGTGGGGCTGAGCTTTGTTTGGCTCTGCTACAACCTTCCTGCCCAACCTTGGGCAAGTCATTTAACCTCTCAGTGGGTACGTCTAGACTACATGCCTCTGTCGCCAGAGGCATGTAGATTAGGCTACCCGACAGAGTAAAATGAAGCGGCGATTTAAATAATCGCCGCTTCATTTAAATTTACATGGCTGCCGCTTTGAGCCGACAAACAGCTGATCAGCTGTTTGTCGGCTCAAAGCGGCAGCCATGTAAATTTAAATGAAGCGGCGATTATTTAAATCGCCGCTTCATTTTACTCTGTCGGGTAGCCTAATCTACATGCCTCTGGCGACAGAGGCATGTAGTCTAGACGTACCCAGTGCCTCAGTTCACCAGCTGTAAAACGGAGATAACACCTGATTTCTCCCCCCACCTCCATCTCATGTATTCCCATTGTAAGGTGTGTGGGGCAGGGCTTGTCTCATTCTGTACATACTGTGCCTCTTGGCTGAGACCTCCAGGTGCCACTGCCAATGTGCAATAACAGTTCCTGCCTTAGGGGTCTGGAAGGATGGCTCTCAGGCTGAATTGTCCTGGTGCTCGAATGCCGGCACAACTAGTGGCCGTTCTCCCATTGCAACCTGGCTGAGCCGATGGCAGGTTTTGAGATGTCTTCACTGTCCATTATCTACAGAGACCAGTCCCAGGATGCAGGGCTCCCACGGGGAAACCCAGACATCAGGTCTTGCTGCCCACCTGCAGGCCCTGGCCCTGCCGCTGCTGTCAGTCACAAGTTCCAGCCATTTTCCATTGGGCGCTGGGTTCAGTGGGAGGATGTCGCAGGCCTGTGATAGACAGGCAATCACGTGGGATGATCCGGGGGTACCTTCAGGCCTTACCCATGAGCTCCCCCAGGGCTGGAATTCAGCAGCCAGAATCGGCGAGGCCCGTCGGTGCCCTGTTTCCAGGGAGATGTCACTCATCCCTGGGCTCTCCCATTAGGAGGGAAGCTGATGTCTGCCTTGAATCACTTCATGACCTGGATGCCAGTGTGCGGGAGGCCTGCCCAGGGTGGTCACCTGCCCCCAGCCCTTGTGCTCGGGGAGGCAAAGCAGAACCTCTTGGGGGCGAAGCCAGACCTTGGTGGGAGTAGTAGGGGGTGAGGCTGCCCCAGCCACAGCTGGGAGCTGCAGCAGGGGACCAGAAAAAGACTCCAAATCCCAGGTCATGGCAGATCCTGGAAGTTGACCAACTGGTTCTTCTCAGTCCCCAGCGTGCACACCATGTTACCGGGGAGAGGCTGTGGCTGCAGGTGACGGGAGCTCCCCTGAGCTCTGGCTGGGAGGGTCCAACAGGGAGCAGGTTAAATAGGTCTGGTCGGTGTCTCTGGCAGGGACGGGGAAGGTCCCTGATGGTGCCTTCGAAGTAGTAGGCCACTTTTACTGCACTTCTACACAGACATCCATGGATCACGAAGCACCCTCCTGAATCTCATTCACATGGCGGGGAAACTGAGGCACAAGGGAATGACATGACCTGCCTGAGCTCACTGTGGGAACTAGTGGCAAAGTTGAGACCGGAACTCAGCAGCCCTTGCTCTCGCCCACAGATACAAACTCCAGCTGGGCAGGCTTCCCAGGAGCCAGTCACGGGGTCAGTGCCTGGGAAGCAAAGCAAAGGGCTGCCGTGGCATGGGCAGGGGGCAAAGTGCAGAGGCACAAATCAAAGCAAGGAGGGGCCCGAGGGGTGGGGGCTGGGTCTCCCCATGGCAGCGTGAGAGGACGTGGATGCTGAGTACCTCAGGTGCGCCGGCATCTTCCCAAGTTCACACCGAATTGGCCTGAAGCAGAGGGTGCTGTGTTGTTTAAGGATGGGCCAGTGTCACCCTTACCACATGGGACAGCCTGTGAAGACTACAAGTCCCAGAATGCAATGCTTCTATGGCCCCACAGAACACCTTGCAGAATTCTGTCCGCTGCAATTCGGCCCGCCCCCGCTTTTGGACTTAGATGGTACGAGCTGTGAGGCCGGGAGGCTCCGACTGTTTGTACAGCGCCTAGCACAGCGGGGTCATGATTTACTGGGGGCATCTAGTAATGCAAAGAATAACTGCTCTTGAGTTGCCACCTAGCGGTAGAACGTGGAGATACAGGCCCATCCAAACATGCCTCTGTCTCTGGTGAGGAGCATGGGCGGCAGGTATTCTAGGCAGGGGAAGGCACGGCCCTCCCAAACAGCCTCATCTGGCCCCACCCAGGGCCAACCCCTGGCCAGCTCTCTGCAGCTCCAGGACAGGGGGAAGTGAGGGGGTGCTACCTTGGACAGGGAGGGGGCAAGGGCCAACAGCCATACCAGGAGAGGGGGGGGGGGGGAGGCTAGGCAGGGGCCAGCAGGCCACAGTGGGGGGGAAGCATGGGTGGTGGTGGGCGGGGCTAGGAGGGGCTTGCCTCCCATGCCCAGGAAGATGTGATCTGGAATGCCTGCCTGTTCCAACGCTGCCTGTTCCAACAGGTGCGGGTGGTCCAGCATGGATGATGGAGCGGGGGCACGTTCATTGCGAACCCCAGATCAGGGCCAGGGTGGGACCGCCTGTCCCGTGGATACAGACTGAGGTTCCCCGATCTGGGGCTACATGCCCAGTG